CTAGAGCCGAAAATCATAAGTCCTTACCTTCTCTCATATTGCCTTCTTGCCAATTGGTGTTTGTAAGCCATTAGAGGAGTGACATTTGTGACTCTAAGCTCCAAGAACAAGAAGATTCAAGCAAGCAACAAAAGGTAATCATCTAGATCTGACTTTCTTATGTCAAATTCGAATTATATACACTAGATCTAGGGTTTTAAAGTCTTGGATGAATGCATGTATAATTAGAGAAACCTAGATCCAAGCATTAGGGTTTGCATGTGCACATAGGAAAGTTCTTATGGCTCAAACCCAACAATTAGTTGAACAAGTTTTCGGCCTAATAGGGGCCCAATAATGATTCTCGGCCTTGGAAGGTCTATTAAAGGTCTTATGGCCCAAAATACTATTGCATAATTAATTTCGGCCCAACTAGGGCCCAAATGTGGATTTTTGGCCTAAAGGAAACAAGTGGGGAGATTACCGACCCCTTAGGCCCAATAAGAGAGTTTTCGATTTATAAACTGATATATCATTGAAGTTTGGTTCACATTTAAACATGGCGTTACATAGTTACACAAAGAACTATCTTGTTCATGAATAGGAAAACCTAGCCCTAAAATGCTAGTTGTGACAAGTCACGCCTTACAAATGACGTGGCTCGCCAAGGCTTGGAAAAACTTGAGGCTTGACATTGTCGCCAAGTCACGCCTTACGTTAATTAGAACATTGGTTAAAATATTGACTAAATGGAATATTCCAGAACCCATAAAGGGAATTTGAAATTTCCATCCCACATTGGATGGGAGGAGAATTTCAGAATTCATCTTCATCCCATATGGGATGGGAGATGAAACTTGGCAAGGGCTTTAATGCTATAAATAAGGTTCCAAGGGTTTCATTCCTCATTGCACCTTAGCTTGAAATATCGCCTACTTCTTCCCTCACTTTTTGTGGGACGAATATCTCAACCTTTTCTAGGATTTGTATAAGTTTATCCCTCTACTAGTTTTCTTTTGGTTCTCATTTTGGAGTCTTGGTTGTGATTCCATTAGAGATATTCTTCATTGGGTCCTCTCATCCAAGCAACATGATTTGATCAAGAAGGTTCAAGAAGATCAAGATTAAGCTACAAAAGATGTTAGAAATTTTATTTTTCTTAGTAGATTTATAGTTTTAAAGTAGGTTGCTAATAGTAAAACCTAGATCCTATGGTGCATGTACATATAGGGATTGTTTTGATTATTTTGATTCGCTAATCTTATCTGTATACATGCATAGAAAACCCAACACATGATTGTAAAAATTATGACATGCACATGTTTTTGGAACTATCCCATCACCCATAATCCTCCAAAATATCATATAAGTACATCAACAAATCCTTTTCTCATGTACATAGTGGTAAGGTTAGGCAAGGATAAGAAGTCTTTCACCTTACCCAACATAACACGAGCTTTGTCTTTTTCCTCCACCACAAAGTACCCCAATTGCAACATAATAATCTGATCACTTAATTTAACCTCCACCAACATATCACTCTTTTTTGTACCCGAAATAACATGAGCATTAGAGCGAGGAAGTGAAAATTAGGCATAGAAGGATCAGGCGCCATAGACTTCTTATGTTCAATTACTTTACGTCCCTCATCAAATCTCGCCAAGGTTGCAAATATTTAATTTTGACCAATCCAGATTTGGAAAGGATTATTTAAGAGGGTTTTCACATTATAATGGATGAAACCAAAGCTTTTCCATGTTTCGAATTCTTCTTGGCAATGAAAACGCTAACAAAAGTCTCATGTTTCTTAAACTTGTTCCATAGTTCTTTGGTGTTAATTTTATTTTCGCGGGGGGGGGGGGGGGGGGGGGGGGGGTCGTTACATATATAGTGTGAGACATCTTACTTACCTCCCTTGCATCCTCATATCATGTCATACTTCTTTGAATGTGGCCAATTTTGTCAAAGACGTTGTAGTTGCTTGAGGACCTAGTGTGATTAAAAACATTCACACAATTTTTTTTTCATGATATGCATTTATCCATTAGTCTCGACCATGATTAGGGATCCTCGTGGCCTTGCACACCAAATAAAGCAACATTGGAAAATTCTAATTGGAAGTCTGTCATTGTTGTTGTTCGGAATTATACCCTAACAGACACAAGAATCGCCACATCATAGAGACCCTGTGTTGGTTAATTGGTTTTGATCAATACGGTTTAATAGGAAAGTTGTTAGGATTTGTGTTTCGCTAGTTTTGGTATTAGAATAGGATTCTATTTTGTTTAGTATAAATAGATGTCAAGTTTTAGATTGTTTAGTTTGAGAATAAAAAAAACACAGCAAGTTTGTTTCTCTTTTGCTTTTAACGTGTTCACAAGAAGTTCAATAACTTAATCTGTTCAATTCTTTTTTCTTCTTTCTTTACCTTGGTGCACAAGGTTTAATACCAGCCTTCTGTTGACACTTGGTATCAGAGCGGTTTCGTTGAAGGGGGTGTGATTCAAGGTTAATTACAATCAACCCTGGTTTCTTTTAATCGGGCTTGTGAGAGACTAACCGGAGGCGCGGAATAAACGGACGGGAAGACGTCAAAGCAGGTGGCTTTGATTTGGTTTGTTTTGCGGGTGACGGAAGACGGTAAAGGTGGTCGTCACCTTGTCTTATTGTCCGCTGGAAGAGTGCTCTCAGAACAAGCTTGATTAAATAAGTCGGGGTTAAGGAGAAAAGGATGTCGTTGGTTAAAGAAGGAGGTTCGTTGACATATCAAGTTCCAGTTTTGACTCCAACGAATTATCCGGTGTGGGCTGTCAAAGTCAAGTCGATTATGGATACACACGGCATATGGGAGACGGTCGAACCAAAGGCGTTAGGTGAAGCATCAGATCAAAAGAAGTCAAAACAAGCTCTTGCCTTTTTGTTTCAAGCGATACCCGAAGACATGGTGTTGCAAATGGCGAGTTACACCGAACCAAAGAAAGTGTGGGATGGGCTGAAAATACGGTATTTGGGAGTGGATCGGGTGAGAACGGCTCGGCTTGCAACGTTAAAGAGAGAACTTGAAAGTTTGTGCATGAAGGAGGGTGAAACGGTTGATGATTTTGTGACAAAATTATCAGGTTTAGTCTCAAAAGCAAGGAGTCTTGGATATGAGCTTGAAGAAGGTGATTTGGTAAAAAGGTTACTAGATTCAATGCCTAAGTCGTTTCTTCAAATCGTGGCTTCAATAGAGCAATGTTTCGAGTTGGAATCAATGTTATTTGATGAAGCGGTTGATAGATTGAAGGCATACGAGGAGCGTATAAAAGGAACCGAGAAAGCGGAGGATACTCAAGGTGGGTTGTTGTTGGCTAGTGAGGAAAAATCACATGTTTGTAAGCATTGTGGCAATGGACGTTCAAATCGGGATGACTTTGGACGTGACCGGGGTAGAGGTCGTGGGTCCGGGAGAAGTCGAGATGGTAATGAACGTGTCCGGGATAAAAGCCACGTTAAATGTTACAAATGTGGTGAGCTTGGTCACTATAAAAACGAGTGTCCTAAATGGGAGAAAAAAGAGGCAAATCTACTCGAAGAGGAACCCGTATTTTTTTGAACGAGTGGTATGATCAACCAATTAAGGGGGTGATTGTTGGTTAATTGGTTTTGATCAATACGGTTTAATAGGAAAGTTTTTAGGATTTGTGTTTTGCTAGTTTTGGTATTAGAATAGGATTCTATTTTGTTTAGTATAAATAGATGTCAAGTTTTAGATTGTTTAGTTTGAGAATAAAAAAAAATATCAAGTTTGTTTGTCTTTTGCTTTTATCGTGTTCACAAGAAGTTCAATAACTTCATCTGTTCAATTCTTTTTTATTCTTTCTTTACCTTGGTGCACAAGGTTTGTTCAATTCTTTTTTATTCCTTCTTTACCTTTGGTGCACAAGGTTTAATACCAGCCTTCCCTGACTATATGAAATTGACTCTGTCGTACCTAAGTTTTTGACCCACACAAATTTAAAATACATTTGGCCCTTTATTTTATTTTATTTTAGCTTAAAGTGTTGTATACATAATGTTTGTTTTTAGGAAATAAATTGTTCGAATGAGACTAAATGTTTGTTTATGTTCGTTTTTTAGACAATAAACCGTTCGAATGTGAGACATCTTACTTACCTCTTATGCTAAACGTTTGTTTGTTTCACTCTTATGCTAAAAAAATCATATCGCTAAATATTTTATCATTACTGACAATTTCCATTAAACCTAGCACAGTGTCATCCCTATTTTTCATCTTGTTCTTGAAAACATCTTATATAAAAAGAATTTGAACTGGACTCTAAATTGACTTTTTCCTTCTTTTTTTTTTTTTTTTTTTTTTGAAAAACAAAAAATTAAACCGTTAGTTGATTTATGATTTTCCTTGAAATCCCCTATTTCCACATGCATGTGGTACTGTGGTAATATATGACGAATCACAGAAGAAAATCACTGATTTGTTCATGGTCCACCGATGATGTAACAATGAGTTGTACGAAATAAGATTTTTCAGTCATTTTGTTCCATCCATAACTATATGTTATATAACACTGTAATGCTGGTTCCTTTGTTTTTTTTTCTTTTAATCTTGTACAAATAAAATTGCTCAATATGATCCTGATTTTGTCACGATGAAATATTGTATATATAATGTTCGAACTAATAAATCTTTGAAACGAGACTAAATGATCATAGTAGCTTACATTCCAAAAAAAAAAAAAAAACAACAGATTTCACAATATACATCGTCACCACTAGTTTTCATCATTTTTAAAGTTTTGTATATAAGTTCTATTTCTTTAAATAATATATGACTAAATAACCATTTTACTCTAAAGTTTCCATAATATTCATTAATTTTAACATGAATAGTTTTTGAGAAAAAAAGATTGACCAATAGATAAAAGGTTAGTAACCTAATACATTAAGCCATTTTTTTTTGGCTTAACCCAGTATTCATTTTGTCTCGATTAAGTCAAAAGAAACAGTCATGTATACGTATAGCCATATATATCTTTCTTAAGTCACGAATTGAATTCACAAAAGCTTTTTACATTAAAAATACGTTAAAACATCACCACCCACCCGTTTTATGCAACCTTAGCATGAGTGGGGGAAACAAAGCAACATAAACATTTAAAATAAAATTAATTTAAAAAAAAAAATACACGATTATGATTTAAGAAACGAACTTTTTTTTTATCATACTGAGTCAACACCTTCAACTTGTTGTCGAGCCAGATATCTCTCTCTTCTTTCTTTCTGAAATAAGCAAACAAAAAAAGGGAATAATAAAAATATGACACCCGAAAATATTTATTTATTTATTTATTTTTATAGTATTAATATTAATAAAGAAATAAATAAAAAATGAAACTGACCCATTCATCTATGACAAGGCCTTCATTGATGATCTTTGGGCCGGGTTCCTCTACAGGTTTCTTGTTGGATTCAAGAGCAGCCTCCGCTTCTGCTAACTGCCGCTTCAATTTTTCCAAAGCCTTAAAACATACAAAACAGAACAAAACCTTTATTCAATTATACCATTTATTTAACCGATTTTTTTATTTTTTTATTAAATTAAAGAGTAAATTACACAAATGGTCTCTATGGTTTAGGGTAACTTGCACGTTTGGTCTCTAACTTATTTTTTTAACTCGGAAGGTCTCTACTGTTTGTTTTTGTTACGCGCTTATTCTCTGTCTTATCTAAAAATACAATTTTGCCATTGATTTTTTAATTTATTTAAATAAACACACCCTCAACCCCAGCCTCTCACCTTACCTTACCTACCCCATCATTTTTCCTTATTTAAATAATAGTCTTACCTACCTCATCATTTTTCCCTATTTAAATAATAGTCTTTTTAGGTAAGACAGGGACCAAACGCGTAACAAAAACAAACAGTTGGGACCAAGCACCTAACAAAAACAAACAGTAGGGACTTTCCGAGTTAAAAAAATAAATTAGAGACCAAACACGCGAATTACCTCAAACGATAGGGACCATTCATGTAATTTACTCTAAATTAAAATAAACATGTCATGGAGGGTATAAATGTAATTTGGACTTACGGGGCTTGGACGTTCGGCATCAAGGAATACAACTTGCAATATCCGCTCCACAGCCACATGATCTTTTTGCTCTTCAAACTGAGTCACAAATAATTGGATTAGCATCATGAAACTGACATGGTTGCCACGTGGCATCCACATTGACACGTCAGCAAAAACATGAAAAAAAAAAAAAAAAAAAAGAGGTTGCCAAACCTTCGCTTGCACGTAATGATAGAGCTTTTTATGATCATTAGTTATAAGCTTATAACTAATCGATCATATTTTTAGTTATACAAAATGTTTTCATTTTTAAATATAACGAATTTTTTTCTCATGAATGAATACAAAAAAAATTATTTCTTAGATTTAAATGCAAGAAATAGCAAAACGTAATTTCATTTATTTTGTATTTTCAAAATTAAAAAATAAAAATAAAAACTTAAAAAGGGCTTATACTTTGAAATATCTAAAAACACTTTTTAAGTATTTTATAATGTTGTACTTATAATATGAAAACATGAAAGTAGAGATTTTATATTAAACAAATCAATAAAAAGTACATTGTTGCTATACATTTTGAAACTCCTTTTTTTGTTTATATACAAAAAATTGTATAGCTAAAACCACTTTTTATGTATTTTTTTATAACTGATGACAAAAAATGATTTTCAATGAAATAAAAAAAAATGAGAAAACATATTTCAAATGACAATTTTTAACTCACCAACTCAGGCACATAATCCATGACTCCTTTAACTTTCAGACTCATGATTTTGAATTTCACTTTTCTCTTTTGGTCCATTTGTTTTTCATTGTTCTCTGGAGGCTCCACAAACTTGAAAACTATAAAAATCATTAAAACGCGAGTAGTATAAATTCTTATAAGTAAGAATAACAGAATTAAATTCAATGTTTTTTAAAAAAGTTAAATGAAAACTACAACAAAAATGTTTTTATAGAAGTTTTACCGGTTGCAATTATAGTCTCTCCAGGAGCAAGAATAGCACCAGGGGGACGCATGAAACAGCTCTTTGGTGCAGTTGTTTGAAACTAAGCAAACATAAAAAAAAAAAAAAAAAAAAAAAAAAATCATAAATCAGATGATGGAATATTTTTTAGGATTAATGTTAATTTTGTAAATGTGTATAAAATAGAAGGACGTTTTAGTCATTTTGCACATGATAAGTAACTATATGTTGCACTTGATGTATGTTTTCGTAATGGAAGTCGTCTTTATAGTTTCCACAATTTTGCAAGTTTACTTGCAATGCCACGTCACCAATGTGGGTCCCATATCATATTTATAGAACAGATTATTATTTTACATTATTACATTTATTTATTAACTAATTCATTACATTACTTTTTTATTTTATGTAAATATAATATATCAAAAAAAAAAATTTAATTTTTAAAGTTATAAATTATACGTTAATAATTTAACAAAGATATTTATGAATATCAAATTGTATATTTTTATTTTTTATTTGTAAACAACAACTGTTTTAAAAATTTCTTTTATTGCCAGTGTAACAATAAATATAGAATCATAGAACTTGGGTATACATTTACTATATACAGATAGGTTTATTTTATTAAACTAAAAATTAAATACTTTTTATTAATAGATCATATAATTCAATAACTATTTTATTAATCGAATAACAAACTATTAAATCAATGTTAATATTTAAACTTTTAAAGTCATACCTTGAAAGCAACATGAGACTTGCTGGTGTTTTTTATCTTGATAGCACTTTGGACTTGCTTACCAGGTTCATCTACAAAGTTTTTTAAAAAAAAAATTAAAAAAATTGAAAATGATTTCACTTTTTACCAATATAGGCAATGTACTTTAAATTTTAACCAAAATGCTTATTTTTTTTTACCCATAATAGCATTGTATTTACATTTCTTTGCCAATAAAAGCAATGTAAGTTTATTTTTAATCCAAAAAAGCAACATACTTATATTTTTTTTACCCATATATAAGTAAATAAATGTAAGTACATAGCTATTATGGGGAAAGAAATGTAAAAGTTGTATAAGTTGAAAGAGAAAAAATTCAAACAAAAGGAGCACTCAGAAATCCACATAATAAATTAAATGAAAAAATGCTCAACAACAAAAAGCTAAAAGGTCAAAAGCATATATCTGATAATTGAAGTAGTAATTAATAACACATAGTGGCATTTTTTATTATTTAGAAACATGTAAACAGAAGTCAACCTTTTATTTTGGCAAATGGCACAACACACATCAACCTTGATTCCACTTTGTTGTTGTCTTTGTTTGAATTATGACAATCTGAACTTTTTCTCCTTTTTTATTTTTAATATATTGTGAAGTTTGTCTATAGGCTTCTTTTCATTAAGAACCGAATTCTTTGTAATTTCAGGTCTCGATGAAAATAGAGATTTTTTCAATTTCCAAATTTAGTTGATATTGAAGGAAGAATTGAATAACTGAATTAGAATTTTTCGGTTTTCAAAGGGTGAATAGAAAAATTGTTTCTTTTTCATCTCATTCTTGTATTATGACAAAGGGTAATATGGTAAATACTTTCGTATAAGCATAAGATTTGCTCCATGAATGTAACAAAATCCCTAAGACTCATGCATATGGCAATGGCAAGCACACCTTTAATCTTCAATGGCAACAATTCTAAGATCTCTCATAAATACATTGCTTGTTCAGAAACTTCATTAATATTATCAAAATTCACAACTTGTTCCATGATAAAATCTTTATTAACTAAACTTGTAACCCTGTGTTCTATCAAAAAGGTAAATAAAACCACGTCATATTAAACATTAATCCCTATGCACCACAATTCCAATAGGTAGAAAATGCATATGAAAATATGATACACATGTCTCTTTCCATAATTAGAATTCTACCCAGAAAAGGACAAAGTAGTGAAAATTGGTGGATGTGGAGTTGAATTGTAATTACTAACAAGACTTGATTACGAAAAGCAGCTCACCTACTTGTTCATAAATCATAGGCCATATAATTAAACTAATACTCGTTGGAGAAAAACAGCGATTAACAATATCAATAACTTCGAAATTATAGGTAAAGTATGGGAGCCTATGCATAGAAAGGTACAGTTATCAGACATACTGCAAGAAATAACGTCGCCCTCACTAATTTCATATCACACACAAAAAATTTCGAGTTCCTAATGGAAATTAGACCAAAAGAAAAAAAATTAAATGAAATTAATCTCAGCAATTACCTAGATCTCATCGGAATTTATAATCAAACAAGTCGGATTCATAACAGCTATGCTAAAAACTAGTAGTAATCAGAGAAAATGGAGGAAATAAAGGCAAGAGTTCATACAGGGAAAGTATAGCTTATTGCTTGGATCGAGCCGAAGACGACGGCGTGTCGGAAGCAGAGATCTAGCCACCGAAGAGACAGAGTTGCTCGCACTCAAGCCTTGATGGTTATTGATGTTCTGAGTGTTCGATCCTTCAGTTTGATACGTTGAAGACGACGTCGTCGTGTGCGTCGTACTGCTACCTGTGTTTCGAAACGGCAGCTTAAATAATCCCCAAACTTTGCCTCCGCCGCCTTCAGACGGAGGTCTATTGTCGACCATGGCCATCAACGGCAACTTAAACTATCTGCCGATGAGTAATTTCAGGTATAATAAACAAGAGCTTCTTCTCTCTTGGAAATGCTTCTCTTTATCTCTCTCTCTCTCTCTCTCTCTCTCTCTCTCTCTCTTTCCCTAGAAATCCATGGACTCTTGGCGTCTGGAAATGCAACGAACAAGTCGCGTTGTGTCTTCTTTTACACGATGATTTGAAAAGGTGGAGTATTTTCTATGCAATTTTCACATTGCATCCCTCAAGTTTTTGTTTAGGTATTACATTAGACAATTACTTTGAAAATATTCAATTCCATCCTTTTGTCCATGTCTAACAAAAAATTTCAATCATTCCTGATCTAGTTATTAATGTTTGTATAGAGCAAAAGTGATAAAATTGTCAATATTTTTTCATACTTTCTAAATGAATATTAATGTTTTTTATAATTTTATAACATGAAGAAAACAAATATGACTACATGCATCGTGACAATGAAGGAATTGTAGCCATAAAAGACTAAATTGGATATAAATAGATTTGAATAAGATGGTGATTATTTTTTTCGTTTTCAATAAAATACTTATCACCATATTATTTTAGAAGTTATGGGAGTCAACAAACTTAAATCTTAACACATAGATGGTTTAAGAATCCATTAGATTCCATAAACTAAAGAAAGAAGGTAAATTTCACCTTTAAACCTTTGAACGCCTCCACAACAAGTTTTATGACCAATTTGTGGGGATTAAATCGCAATGTCTTCTAAGTAATGAAAATAATGCACAAATTTGATTCATAGACTTTGTTCGTTAATTCTCACATTTATACAATCAAGAAAAATGTTTGAGAACTCCATAATATGTAATATCATATTAATTAATAAGGGGTTAATATGATTGGGGCAAACAATAGTTATTTTGATTTTGGTTAAACCAATATATACATATGACCTATTGAATGTAAATTTAAACTATTTTCAAGTAATATAATCGAGATACATATGTCATAAACAAATTAATCTTTTTTACAAACAATTGTACACCTAAATCTTCTTGATTTGATTGTATATATGTGTCATAACCAAAACACAGATTTGCATGCATAGATTCTCAAACAAAACAATATTGTTTTGATGTTTCATCAACAAAATTAGATATTTGATCAACTTGACTTCTATGCATTAAAAAAAAGATCAAGTGGTTTTTTCACATTAACAAAACCTCCATGTAGGTCATGTTTAAAGACCTGTGCATTGTGGTCATATACAAGTTTAAGAGTTTACATTTTGAATCTATATACTAATTTAGTTAATTACCAAACATATTTCATATCGAATACTAGTGTAAAAAAGTTTTATCTTTTTTTGGGTTTCAATATACTAAAATTACAAAAAAAAAAGTGTTAGAAGTCATAAATGTGAAGGGCTGATTAGACAAGTGGAATATGCTGAGGTAGTAAAGTGAAATATAAAACCTTTTGCAGCGGGATAATGATGGCATTTGTGAGACTGGTGGGTGGGTTCCACACGTCCGTGAGGTCAAAGTATTCAGTCATGAGAACGACGTCGTAAGCGCGTTGCCAAGTCACAGAGCGTATTGAAAACGGCCTAACCTGGTTGACTTTAAGGAAATTTGAACTTGTGATGCTGGCAGGCAATTACCGAACATCAGTTATTAGAATTTAGGGCTACCATATGTAGAGGTTGCAATAAGTTTTGTATCTTAACACTTAAAACCTATATTTAATCGGGGAATAGCGAATCCAAGATTAAAACTTATGTATATCCAACCTAACGACAAAACAAAATAAATGGTTATCAAATCGGATAGTTAATAATGCCCTTTAAAAACAAATAGCAACATATACTGAGGTAGAAATTGTAAAAAAACAATAAGGTATACTTACTAAAAAGAAAGGTTAATGCTATAAAAGCCCCTAAGCTCTTCTGGTTAAGACGCAGATCAGTGAGTCGATGGGTGACTCAGTGAGTTGGACAGATTGGGACTCGGAGATCGTTGGACTCGACGAGTTGAGTCGTGTTCTAATAGTTTTCAGAGTATAAGGACTCGACGAGTCAACGGGTTGACTCGGCGAGTAGGGTCAGTCAGGAAGTTTGACTTTGGCCTGGACTTTGACTTTGACCTTCAAGGGTGTTATGGTAATTGGTTATTTATGTCAATGGTCCATTGATGGCAATAGGTGTTGGAGTTTGGAGCAGTGCTTCGGGTGTGTGCTTCCGTGGTTCGGTTCTTCATTTCAGGTGAGCTATCCTCACTGTACTCAAGGGTCTAAGGCACCAAGGCCTGCCCTTTGAATTGTTGTGTAGAGCTTGTTATGCTTATGTGATGATATGATTGCTACTATCCTGGTAGATAGGATAATGTTATGATGTTATGCTCTGTTAGCTTAGTATCCTAGAGGAATGGATAGTTAAGTGATGGCTAGTTCTGTTGGATCAGCGCCCTGGTATTTAGGTAGTGGTTATTTATAGACCTGTAGTTGGTCTTGCCTTATGTACGCTAGTAGGAGGTTACCTGCGGGTTATATATGTTGAGCAGTAGCAGAAGGTATTCCATCCCGGTAGGATGATAGGGCCCTAGTATGTTGGTTATGTAGAGTGTTATGTGGTTGCCTGTTATGTGTGCATGTTGTTAGTGTAGGGGCATTCCAACCCGATGGTTGTGGGCCGAGAGTATTCCATTCCGGTAGGATGATTGGGCTCGTAGTATGTAGACATTCCAACTCGATGGTTGAGGGCCAGGGGTATTCCAACAGGAAGGTTGATTGGACCCATAGTATGTTGTTCTTTGTTGCATGCGTATGCTTATGTGTGTATCGGTACTCTGGGGGAAACTCACTAAGCTTTCGGGCTTACAGTTGCAGTTTATTGTTTCAGGTACTTCAGGAGATTGTGGCAAGGCGAAGGCGTGATCGTACCGCTCCTCATGTTTTATGATTTATGTGATATGGTTCTGGGGGATACTCTGATGTTCAAACTATTTTGAAAACGAGATGTATGAACTTAATGGTTTTTGAATGAAATAAAATGTTTAAAATTGGCTCAATTTTTATGGGTGTTACAAGTTGGTATCAGAGCCTTGGTTTGAGTGAATTGGAGGAACATTCGTGTGAATCCAGTCTCAAATCAAGGAGAGATTTTCGAAAATAGTTTTCAAAATAAGTAAAGGAGGACGCAGAGGGTACGATCAGCCGGAGCCAGTAAGTAGACTCCAAAATACCATACAATTATTTGATATTGTGATATGTTAGAACAGCATGCTAGTACTAGGCTAGGGATCT